ACACCATCAAAACATAATGCGAGTGGACGAGGGGGAAAGCAACCAGAAGAGGTCGCGCGAAAGGTGGACAACAAATGAACAATGCTCACAAAAAATCACATGCGCAAGCGCCCAACGAAACAAACTTATAGACACTCCAACAATTTGGCGTGCCGCGAAGAAGGGAAAAGGGGCGGGGGGCCCGCGTGCCCACGAGGAACAAACTTAACGGCATGGTAACCGCTACTGGACACGCCGTCACGCAGAGCCGCTCTGACAACACACACGCACACGGGCGCATCATCGCGCAAAAGCGGCCGAACCACGCCGCGCGAAGCATCGCTGCGCCAAGGCGATCCGCCCATGCAAAACACGCGCAAATGGCATCCGAAAAGAGCGTTACGCGCCGCGCAAAAAAATATGGCGCGGTGCCGCAACAATCAGGCGGCTACGAATGTGAACTCCTCTGAACTGCGCGCACGCGCGTCGTGTTAAACAGGCCGCGCCGCGCAGGCACGCCACCCGGTCTCGCGCCAGCACGTCGAAGGGAAGGTCTGCGGGAGACGCTCTGCAAGTGGCAATGAAGCAACCCCACGAGAACGCTATACATGTGAAATCGAAGCACGTGCCAACAGTAACCGCGACAACAGAACAACCAACAAAAAATCATTTTAAAGAAACATCCATAACTTCCGGTTGCGGTGGTTTCTTGCGCGGTCACGCATGGGACCAGGGGAAGCGCACGCGATCCGAGCTCCCAAAATTTCCTCATCACATGCCGGACCACGCGTCCTTGAGACTCGGGTCAGGACGGCTACGGAGGGGGAGGGGGGGAGGGTGCGCGCGCAGCCGGCCCATCCCAATGGCATCCCACCCCAACCACGGACAAGCAAGGAACCACATCCATATTATTGTCGAGTCGAAGAAGGACAACAGACGAAGCCTATAACCCTGATTATTGGATAGCAATACAGAATTGAGCAGCAACGTTCCCATTGGTAAAACATGGGGATACATATGCTTCACTACATGTACTTCCTGCGACCGAAAACTCTTTGGCAGGCGCTCTGTTTCAGTCCTGTCGAAAATATCATTCGGAGCTTGGATCACGGCGGAGAGCGGCAAAACTCGTGTCCCGCGAGGGATGGGCGCCATGTGGGCGGTATCATCGACGCTCCCCCCTGGGTGTTGGGATCCGCGAAGGCGGCTTCAGTGCCGATGCCCCATCTGCTGCCGCGAACAGTGTGGGCGGCGACGCGCGCGGAACAACTGGCGCTTATGACCACTGGCAGCGTTTGTGACGCGAAATGCCCACCGATGCCAGGAAACGAGATGTGCGTCGACGTGTCCAGCATCCCTCATGGCGGAGAGCAACGCGATGGCTGCTCACGAGGGTGGGAAATCACAAAATTGGTCATCCTCCTGGCGTCGCAGGTGATTTCGGGTGCGTTGCCAGATGATGACGCTGGTTAGAACGAAGGAGAACAACGAGAGCGTTTTCTCGCACATTCGATTGAAAATCGCATCAGGAAAAAAAAAAAACAATCGACTGTTCACCGACCCCCAAGAGTGCGACCCCCACTAGCAAACCACTGAGGGTGGGGGTCTTGCGACCGCGGGTGTCTGTCGAGGCCAGCCTCGGGCTACTGCGGGGGCCTGCTGAAGCCCGCCGGGACGACCTGGGGAAGCTGTCCGTACGCAGCCAAGAGCCTTCCCGTTGGACAACATCGAGGGGTTTCGGGAAATTTGTGCATATGATAGGGGCCTCCGCGAGGCTCCGGGGGGGCACGGCTAGATTCCATTCGGATTTGGAGTCCCGAAGCGGTGCGGTGACAGACCGTGCGGTGACCTCGAGATCCCCTAAGACCTCACCGCACGGTCCGTCCACGCACGGTTTTGGGACCTCGGATGGCCCAGAACGCCCGCGACGTCCTCGGAGAACGACCCGAGACCCGAAACCGTGCGGTGACCCCGGATCCCCACCGACTCACCACACTGTTTGGTCACCACCCCATCGCTCGGACGTCCATTCCCTGTGTTTTTGTTCGGTTTCGTGCGTCTTTTTTTCGCCAAAAGATCAAAGATGCTCCTCGATGGTCCTCGCCGAAGCAAACATGCACACGTCCGAGCGATGCCGAGGAAGCTCTGGGGCCCCCGATTGGAGACGCTGGCCAGAGCGCAGCCCTGGAGAGGTCGAGGCATCGAGCTTCGACCCGGCCCAGACGCCCTCGTGCCACCGAAGGCATGGCAAGACACTGCTCGCCGGTTTCAGTCTCCCCAAGGCGCCTCTCGGCCCTGGGGCCGTCAACGATTGAGCAAGGACCGACCGCCCCAGCATTCCTATAGTCCTACCACGGAAGGGTCTTAGAACCCAAAAGTGTTCGAAGGACAGGAACACTGCTCTTAGAACATAAGCCCGATGTGATACAACATGACCGACTCCGCCAAAAATGTTCTAAGAACATGGGGCATCGGTCGAGATCCCCACCATTTTTGGAACGGCCATTGAACTTCCCAGTTGCGCAGAATGCGCCGCAGGCCCGGGATGCGACTCCAAGAAACCTCTGCAACATGATAAACCCACTCGGTCTGAGAACTCACCGACCCAATGTCGGCGTGAAAAGGCGACGGAGAATCGAGCGAATCTGGCTGTGTGCGAGAACCTTCTGAATCCTTCTGCCAATGAACACAAACCCCTTCATTTCTGATCGCCAATGAACACAAACCCCTTCATTTCTGATCTCCCGACTAGGGAAACGGCATCCAGGGGCCGACGACGACGCCAAGCCGGCCGTCACGATCTTTGATGCGTCGTCCAAGTCTGAGAGAAAGGGGGAGGGGGAAGGGACAGATTTAAGAAACCATCCTGGGTGAATGCGCACTGCCGAACAACGCGTGGCCCGATGCTCTTTCTCCATGGCATGCCTGCCATGTACGTATGGACTCCTCCGAGCAAGCCCAGACATCCGAAGATGTTGCTGCACTTTGCGCCTCCAGAAGTGCCGACCCCTTCCATCGTGGTAACTCTCGTCCCAACTCCGTTTCTGATGGCGACGTGGACCGACAACGGGCCCCGAAGGCCGAAATCGATATCCCACGATGTCAGGGCAAGGTGGGGCTGAAAAGTCGAGCGCGAATCTTAGCTCCCCTCTCCAAGGCACACGTGCCCTGGGGTACGTGGGGCCTCCACGGAACTAAGCCACATCTCAGACGGTATGATCGCTCTAATCCAGTGCTTTCCGGCATTCCCGCCACCAACCTGCCATCAAACATCACCTTCTCAAACATCACCGGGGACCATGCTTTGGAGCCACCACGACCCCCGAAATAGCCGCCGAATTCCAAAAGAGTTGCGCGGTAATGTTTTGTTTTTCTGAGAGTATGCAACGCTGGGCGCGCAGGCCCGCCTGCAACGCCCCCTGGCGAGCATCCATTTTGAACCAAACATCGCCGCGGCCGTCGCAACCACCACCACCAAGACAACAAGAGAACAAGCGTTACATTCATCATCGCGCTGAGGCCACGTCAGCCTGCGCCGCCGCACGTCGACTCTTTGCCACAGCCGAGTGCTGCGTGCTCCCAGCAGCATTCGTCGACAGCTGTCAAAAGCAAAATCGCCGACATGGTCCTTGAAAGGGCCGCCAGGAGGGCCGCCGAATGGGCCGCAGAGATCGTCAGCGAAATCGCCGCCGAAATTGCCGCCGAAATCGCCGCCGAAATCGCCGCCGAAATTGCCGCCGACATTGCCGCCGAACTTGCCGCCGAAATCGCCGCCGAAATAATTGGGAACTCCGCCGAAATCGCCGCCGAAATCAGCCGCCAAAATCGCCGCCGAAATTCAGCCGCCGAAATTGTCACTGCCGTGTCCCAAGCGAAATCACTATTTCTATCAAGCTCGATGACGCCGCGGACGCAGGCATCGAGTCACAGCCCAGGTCAATTTCGGCCTCTTTGTGGCGGCACAGTCCGGAATTTCGGCGGAAATTTCGGCGGCGGGTTTGGCGGCGGGTTTGGCGGCAATTTCGGCGGCGATTTCGGCGGCAATTTCGGTGGCAATTTCGGCGGCAATTTCGGCGGCCCTGTCGACGGCTCTTTCGGCAGCCCTTTCGGCGGCAATTTCGGCGGCCCTTTCGACGGCTCTTTCGGCGGCGTTGCTGTTGCCAATTGTCGACCATGGCTGCCGGGAGCTCTGGGCACTCGGAGGCCCCGGCGGGCCCTGAGAGGGCCCTCGAAGGACCTCGCCAGAAAGCGTCTGCTAAGTAGCTCAAGCCACGCGTGATTGGCACGCAACGTGCAGAGCGAATTCCCCCTAGCAACGTGCAGGGCGAATTCCTCGCGTTATGCATCAGCACGCTCTACGATGCGCATGGAAACCACCGCGCGACAGGGCGCGCCTGCACACCGAAACCATCAAGAAAAGCTCAATTTCGTTTGGAATGAATTTCGGCGCGCGCCCCTTTTCGTCTCCAGAGAAAGTGCCACTACGACAAACAACGCAAGACCCCCAAACACGGAGTGTGGACGGCACATCGAAAACGTCACACCATAAACTATGCAAAATCCATCAACATCGAATACGCAAACCTGATCGAACCAGAGAGTGCGTCGGACGGGGCTGCACCGGCACGGGGCCGAAAGCGAGTCGGATCTGCAGCGTTGGGATGCACAGCAGCGCCATGCAAGCATCGGGCCGCATCGGATCGCCAGGATACCGGAAGCCGATCAGATCGGGCCGGCCGGCATCGGAATATCCAATCGATTCGATCGGATCGAAACAGACACTACAGGCGTGGAGGTCGACCCTGATCGGATCCCCAGTGGCTCGCGGAGCATATCACGAGCTTCCTGTGGCTGCTCGGGACGACCTTCGCACCCACGGAACGCTCTCGGCGAGGCGCACTTGCTGGAAGGCATCTCAACGCGGGGGAAACGCCGAGAACTGACGGAAACGCCCGAAAACCTCACACATCGAAGCTCCCTTGGACTGCTAGAGGCGTCCCAGACTGGGCCCGCGGGAGCGCGATCCTGCGTGGACATGCCCGTGACGGCACTCGCGCTCGCGTCCAAGAACTTCGCCCCAGCTTCCGCTGCCGCGCCCTGCGCGCCGGCCGCGCCGCGGGCAGGCGGTCGACAACGTTCGACGGCATTCGGGGGCTCTGAGGCTCAAAGACCCCCTCGCTGTGGGGGCACCCCTGGGGAGGTCTTCGTCAGAAGGAGTGAGCGCTAATCTGATACGTCGACAGAGAGTCCAGCTGCATATAGCACTTGAAGCAAGGATGAGGTTGAACATGAGAGACTTAGGCAACTTAACCGAGATGGTTCTTCAGAAACCCCACCAACAGTGGAAACGAATTATAATCTTCACGCCCTCATTGACGAACTGAAGCCTCACCAACAACATATCATACTTATCGATCCGCGGCGCCCGTCGCGCAACAAAGACGGTGATTACGACTACAATTGTGACTACAACCACGACTACGATTACGACTACAATCAAGACTACAATCACGATTCTAGTCGCGAGCACAATTACGACTACAATCACGACTGCAACTTTACCCACTGACCCTTAGTGCAATGTCCGTGAGAATATGCTCACACATCCTCTGGCTTGTAGGGTAACCCAAGCTGGTCTCTTCCCCTGGCGAAAGAACCATCAACCAGATCCCGCCCGCCCAACAATAGAGGGAACATAATCCCTGCCGCGATGGCGACGACTACGATAACGACGACGATTGCGACAACAACCACAACTACGATGTTGCGAGTCCAATCAAGACTACAATCGCGATTATAACCGCATCTACAATCACAAGTGCAACTCCAACCAATGATTATAATTGCAATCTTCATGAAACGATGCTCACAAATCCTCTCGCGTGTAGGGTAGCCCAAAACTCATGATTCTCTCGGAAGAGCCAGCCCGCCCAACACTAGACGGGAAATACGTTCCACTGCGACGACAACTGAGATAACGACCGCGAGGAGAAGAAGAGGGAGGACGAGGAGGAGGAGGATCAGGAGGAGGAGCAGCAGGATCAGGAGGAGGAGGAGCAGGAGGACGAGGAGGGGGGGTTGGAGAAAGAAGGGACGCAGGCGGAGGATAGAGTGTCCCTGCCGAGAGAAGCAAGGCGAGGACCCAATACTAAATACCGATCACGGTTAGCTGGATAGTCTGGTAGATTATCTGAACTAAAGCCAACTACTAAGACACATGAATCATATAAACTATAAACACGTGATTTGCGTCAAACGGTCTTACGCTGACGTGGCAAATGGGTTTGGTCCTCCAGCTCAACAATGCGCATGCGTCGGGGGAGTCCATGAGCTCGGACGAAGCGTTTGGCAAATTAACAAGTGTGCCAAGAATCGCTATCTATTCTTGGGCACAAGGCTTGTCAGTCAGCTGCGCTTGCCGCATTTGGATGCTTGCATGCACGTTTGTATCGTGTGCTCATCGAGCCACCGTGCACAACTGCCCGCTTGCGAAGTTTACCAGGCCGTCTCGGGACAGCCCTGGGCTGCATGTTATGCCTTGACTGTGCTGTTGGTTGCTTTTCTATACGTCCCAACCGTCCTGTGGTGTTGGGTCGTCGGTTTGAAGAGACATCGCCCCGCGTCTCCTTCGTCCAGCTGCCCCCCTCCCTCCTCTTCCCATGATCATCCACATCCATCCACATCCTCAGCCTCAGCATCAGCATCACCATCATCAACACCATCATCAAGATCATGATCATGATCATGGTCATGAGCATCATCAGCATTATCAACATCAGCATCAACATCATCATGATCATTATCGTCATCATCACCACCATCGTCACAGCACACATGTTGGCACACCCCTCACACGTTTCGTGGCCCCGTAAGGAGCTCCACCGTAGGTCCCAGTGGCGCAGCCCGCATGCGTCACGCACACACCTTTTGGCACACCCCTCACACGTTTCGTGGCTCCATGGGGAGCTCCACCGAAAGTCCCAGTGCCGCAGCCCGCATGCGTCACGCACACACATTTCGGCACACCCCTCACGCGCGTCGTGGCCCGATAGGGAGCTCCACCGAAGGCCCCAGTGGCGCATCCCGCATGCGTCACGCACACACATTTTGGCACAAACCTCACACGTTTCGTGGCCCCATAGGGAGCTCCACCGTAGGTCCCAGTGGCGCAGCCCGCATGCGTCACGCACACACATTTCGGCACACCCCTCACACGTGTCGTGGCCCCATTGGAAGCTCCACCGAAAGTCCCAGTGCCGCAGCCCGCATGCGTCACGCACACCCATCTCGGCACACTATTCACACGTGTCGTGGCCCATAGGAGCTCCACCGAAGGTCCCAGTGGCGCAGCCCGCATGCGTCACGCACACACATCTCGGCACACCCCTCACACGTTTCGTGGCCCCATCGGGAGCTCCACTGGAGGTCAAAGCCACCGCCCGCAGGCGTCCGCCTCACCCACGGCGGCACACCCCTCACACTTTGCGTGGCCCCACGGGGAGCTCCACCGAAGACGGTATTTACAAATGCGGCTCTCACAACTGCATCTGGTTAGGTCCTTCGCCAGGCTAATTGTTTGTTTGTTACTCTCTTTCTCTCTCTTTCCCTCTCTCTCCCGTGATAAATGTGTATATATATATAGATATAGATACATACATGTCCGCCACGGTGTCTGCATCACATATAGGTGCCCCAGGGCTCATGCAGCCCTGAGAAAATCAAAAGTTGTAGGATTCCGAAAAGGTGGTCATCGGTTTGAAGAGACTTCCGGGGATGACTGAGGATTCCCTCGGTTTCTGGTGATTCCACAGGATTCCCCTGGATCTCTGAGGATTCCCACGGCGTGCCGGAACTCTAGAGGGGATAATCAAGTTCGGCCTGCCCCCCCTGCCGTTTCAATTGAACCACATTCGGGGAGACGGAAGACTCGGGTACGGGGGACTCGAGTTGGCCTGAAGGGGCCATCATGAAAATGACGAGCCCCAATCTGAAATTTGACCCGAGCTCCCGCTGCAACCATCCCACGAAAACTTGGTCGTCAAAATGCAGGACGCGCTCGTCAACAAAACTTCGGGAAACCCGAGTTCCGGCTTGCTCGCGTCTTCTGTGTCCCCGGCACATTCAACCCCGTGGATAATGAGATACACAAGAAAAGGGGAGGATGCTTTATTATCCGGGGGATGCGATTCGGAGGGCGGCGGCGACCACGGCGAGGAGGGCGAGGAGGCGCAGAGAGAGGACGAGGAGTAGGAAGACGAGAAGGGGGAGGAGGGCGAGAAGGGGGAGGGGTAAAGCAAGGCCAGGAAACGTCGGACCCAATGTCCAAATTCCCAAATCAGTGCTTGCACTGAAGGGGTCCTAGCAGAAATTGAAAAATGTGGCGAACATATCCCGCCGACTTTGGTGGCCGGCTGGGTTCCCGGGTCCCCCGTTCCAAGTTCCTGGGTTCCTGGTTGGTGGTTCCAGGCCGATTTCGGTGGGTTCCGGGTTCCCAGGTTCCCGGGTTCCTGGTCGATCTCATTATCGATCTCTTCGTCGATCCTATTTTAAACCATCCACTGATTGGGGTTCTCACTGGTGTACGTAAATGCTACGAAAGCTAGGGCCGTGTGGATCTACAATCGACCCGTGTCGATGCGCGGTACGGATGCAGGGGCCTTGGAACGCCATGTGAACGCTTCTCGAACGAGGTCAGCCAGCGAAAGTCGCTAAGGATGGGCCGAAGGGGCAAGGATGCATGGGTACCCTTGGGAAGGTTGCTCATCCTTACTGTTAGAGGCGTCCTAGATGGGGTCGGAGTAGATGGGGTCGGAGGATCGAGCCGCATCACCGATACAACGGCGATGCATCGGCCATGCATCAGCGATGCATCGCCGATGCATCGGCGACATCGGCGATGCATCGGCGATGCATCGGCGACGTCGGCGCGGGGATACACTGGCCCCACAGCAAGTCGCATCGCCGATGCATCGGCGATGCTGTGCGATCCTCCGACCCCATCTACTCGGACCCATCTAGGAGGCCAAGAACTATGCGGGTTGACTGTAAGATCTGAAGGCGGAGAGAAGGAGCGGGGATCTACCACGCGGCACGACTTGGAGGAAAAATTTGAAAAAGACGCTCGGCAATGCGGCAGTGCGCCTCGGCACCCGGCCTCTGCCAAGCGAAAGCGGACGTGGTGGCCTCTCCAGGGCAGACCCTCACTTGCGGCTGCCGAACTGGAAGTAGAAGCCGCCGGCGATGATTAGAGCCCCCGCAACCAAGTTCCCGAGCGTGACAGGCAGTAAGTTCTGCATGAGAGTCTGCATGTACGTCATCGGCGAGCCCGCGAGGAGGCCGGCAGGCAGGATGAACATGTTCGCGACGGAGTGCTCGAAGCCGATGCCCACGAACATGGAGATGGGGAACCAGATGCCGACCATCTTGCCCGTGAGGTCCTTCGCCTGGGTGCACAGGAAGACCGCCATGCACACCAGCCAGTTGCACAGGACGGCCTTCACGAGTGTCTGGCCGAGCGTGCCGCCGCACTTCTTGGCCACCGTCATCACGGCCATGGAACCTGCACCCCCGGTGAGGAGGCCAGTGTACCAGGCCGCAACGGCCAGTCCTCCGCAGCCGATCACGTTACCGACCCAGGAGAAGAGGAAGCTCCTCAGCATCTCCTTGACCTTCACCTTTCGGCTACACGCAAGAGTGACCCTGGGTAAGAGTGACCTTTGGTGCGCGGCTCTGTGGGGGCCGCGGGGGGACCAAACCTGTGCGCGCAAGCCGCTGCGACCGCTTCGTTTTCAACCATCTGGGGACCCATCTGTGCCCGCACCAAAGGTCACTCCGGCGAAAGGTCACTCTTACGTCTAGTTGAACCTTGCCCTCGAGGAACGCGCACGACACCGTGGCGGTGTTGCCGGTGTACAGCTGGCAGCCCGACTGCAGCACCAGCAGCAAGTTCACGGGGAACAGGGCCGCGAAGATGAACTTCTGGGCGCCGAGGGTGGCCTCGGGGCCCAAGTTCCCGGCCACGGTGAGGGAGAGCAAGCCGGCCATGCCGACGTAGGCGCCGCCCATGATCGAGCTGTGCATCAGCTTCCAGAACGGCATGTTCGCGTTGGCGACGCCCTTGTCCACCAGAGCCTCGTAGGTCTCCTTGGGCGTGATCACCAGCGCGACACCGTCCCCGCCGGCCCTCTGGACGCCCCCGTAACGGGGACTCCACCAACGGACACCTTGGCCAGCGACCTGGCCCACCAAAATCCTTCCCGACATGAGCAACGCTGCAATGCCAGGAGGAGGCCCAAAGTGGCAACCTTCGGCAAATCTCCAAAGCACCCGTTGGTGAGTACAGTCGACCCGTACGGTGAGGAGGCGCGATGAGGCTGCAAGGGCCTTGGACGCCCACTCCGAAGCTTCTCGGGCGGGGCGCGGCAAACGTGTAAGTGGCCAAGGATGGACCGAGGAGGCAAGCAAAAATGCAAAAGTACTCTTGTAGAAAAAGACACAACTGCATAAACGGAAACTTTGGCGCGGAGCGCCAAGAGTTCATGTTTCTGGCGTTTCTTCTTATTCGATTATAAAGCGGGGCGCGGCCAACGTGAGTGGCCAAGTATGGACCGAAAAGGCAAGGATGCAGTGGTATCCTTGGGAAGGGTGCCCATCCCCGAACATGCGACTTCCTGATTTTGTTCAGAACAGGGTCCCTGGAAATCCCAACCTTTTCCCCGAGTCGTTGTCTTACGCTCCTGGGGCCAAGCGAGGGCCCCCAGGGGCCGAAAACACAGAAAAACCTCCCTTCGTGACGTTTGAACGAAACCATCACGTCTGGGCATAGACCGAGGAGGCAAGGATGCAAGGGGTACTGGGGAGACCAGAAAGGTACCGATACCGCTACTCCCTAGACCTCTCCCAGGGAGCGTTCCGTACAGGATTTCGAGGCGAATCCAGCGGTGGCGACGAGGGCCTCCGAGGAGGCCCGAAAAGGAGAAAACGGGCGGAGGGTAGAGGTATAGGTACCTCTTCCTCCTCTGAGGTGCCCTTGGGGAGGGTGCCCCTCCTCCCCCTGCGAGGGTCGACTGCGCGTGCCCACTGCGGTGCGCCGCGCGGCCTCCGCGCGCCTCCGGCGGGCCGGCGCGCTGCGAGCAGCGCCGCGCCGCAGAGCGCGGGCGCCAGGAGCGCCCCGGCCGCCCCGAGGGCGTCAGCGCCGGGCGCCTCCTGCGATGGGCCAAAAGAGGGAAGCGAACTCTATGCACCGACGCTTTTTCCGGCCCTGCACCGAAACTCGCACAGGAACGCGGATCCTGGTGTATACGGGATCCGGGTGTATACATTTTCGTCATTCCCCTAGGACATCGGGGAAACAACTATACACCACACCACCCAAGCGTCGTCCCCGACCCTCAAAAAGTCCTGGGATTGAAAAACAACCACCCACTGGTAATGTATATGTTCCAGTTTCCGATCGGCCTAAGTTAAAGGGGTCCCAGGACACACAAATAAATACACACTAATAAAAATATTCCCCATATTGTCAAATATTTTCTGGGTTTCTGTTTTCCCCCCCACTTCCCATATTTTCCCATATTTTTTGGGGAATCGCAGATTAATTGTGTCTGTGTGTTTCTTTCCCTCCTGATAAGTTCCCAACCCTCCTCACGTTGTGACAACATCACGACGTCAGGCTGTTCTGTGTGTTCGGCCTCGGGGGCCCTGGCCGGGCCTCGGGGCCGTCAAGCATCATCGACTCGGGATGGAGATGCGGTCCCAGGGAAAGGGTCGAGACCTCTGGGGGTCGACCTCGTGAACAAAAACATGACGTCGGTCGGGGATGGACAGAAGCCCCTTTAGTAGAACGTGGTTTAGTGAAAAAACCTCGGGCCCAAACCTGGCGGGCGCAAGCCTGGAAAATGACGGCCGCGGCGCCCTCTCGAGAAGCGAAAACGGACAATTCACTAATCGACGTGTCAGGGTGGGGGTTCTGTCCGCCCCCGAGTCGGGGGCCTGGGTCAGGGAGGCCCCAGGGACAGGTCTTGTGTGGGGGGGCATCCGGCCAGGCCGCCCAGCATGAGCATCCCCCCGTCAGGCGCAGGAGGCCGGGGCCTCGGGGAGGCCACGTCCTCCTCGCGTGCTCGGGGCTGGGGCCTCTGCTGTGGTCCGTGATCCTGCGCCGCGGCCGCGGGGGCCCCCCGCCGAAGGGCCCGAGCGGGCGCCGGGGCCGCGGCAAAGGCGGGGGAGCGGGCGGCGAGGGCGCAGAGCGCCGCGAGGGCAGCGGCGGCGGCCAGCGTCGGGAGCAGGAGGCCGGCGGAGCGCGGCGCCATCGCCGGCGGAGGGGCTCGCGGAGGGGGCACGGGCGCGGGCGCGGCCGAGCGCCTCGGGGCTGAGCGGCGTTGGAGCCGGAACGGCTGTGCGGGCCACCGCGTTCGTGGGAGGTGCGCGGCTCTCCGGGCCACCGCGCGGTGGCGAGGCCTGCCAACGCTAGTGAACAGAGCCACGCACGGACGGGCCACCTGTGCGAGAGGGAAATCGTACTCAGGTCAGCGCGGCTTCTGCTGAGCAGAAGCTCTCGAACAGCGCTGCGGCACACTCCGCGCGCGCCACCGAAGCTACGGCTCGAAGTCCTTACAATCTGCGAGCGGGCATCCTGGAACGGGCCCAGAAGGAGTCTGGCCCGGAGATCAGGGGACTGGCGCTGCGAATCAAGGCAAAGAAGGACGAGGAGGTCAAGAGAGAGGAGGAAACCATCAATAAACACTTAGTGCACGATCGCGCGCGGCTTGAATTAGGATGCCACCGCTCTTGGGCGGCTGCTCTGTGGGCCCCGGGCAAACAGCGGCGACGAGTCCGTCGTACAGAAAGGAAAAGGAAAAGAAAGGGGAAGGGACAGGCGAGGGGAGGGGGGCTGGAACGTTACGACGGATCTGCCCCTTTTTAACTGGCTGGATTGTTGCGACAGTTCCCGCCCATTTCAAAACTCAGCTGATGACTATACTCCCCGTTACTAGCCGCTCAAATGCACGCCGCTGAATAAACTAGACGACGCGGAGCCTGGACCTGCTCCTCCTTGCCGCCCTGCTTGAGGAGGTGGGCGATGGCGGCGCCCGCCGGGGCCAAGCAGTCTGGAGACGATTTGGTGGCGAGGTAGACTTTCACATGTCCCTTCTCGATCTTCACCTTGCAGACATGGATGCGTGGGAGAATGTGATCGGGGGTCTTCATAGCAGACCCGTGTGCCGAGAGAAGCTTCAGATGCGGGTCCTCTAGGGCGGTGGTGGTCACCGCGTTCATCACCAAAGCCGTCCATGCGTGAGCGTGGGGCTCGCCGACCGGCGCCGTCCCTTGCCCCGAAGCGGCGGCGCGGAACTCCTCGGCGAACTGCTGCGTTGCAGACTTCATGGCCTGCACTGCGAGAGCCATCACCGGCATCAGAATGACGCGGAACTTGGCGGCCTGCAACTCACGGATTTCGAGGGCGTGCTTTAAAGTGATCTGCGAGATGACAGCCAGCAAACGTAGCACCAGAGCGTCGGGCGAATCCCCACTTGAATACGCCGCGAACCTGCTGGGTGCCGCCCTGCCCGTCCTGGTTGCCGCACTTCTGCTTGAGGAAACCCTCCATGCCCAAGGGTTCCGGGAAAAACAACTTTATGTGGCAACGGCTGGGCGTTACGACGAATTCGTCCTGTTGTTCAAATCCTTGGACCTGCACGTGTCACGATGACGAAGACGAGGGGGGCGGGAAATGGGTGACGCTGTGATCCATCAGCGCATCCAAATTATCGAACTGCTGTCCGCGCTGTAAACATGCCATATATGTGTAAGACACTGGCTCCACATGTGTACTGCTACCACGTCCCGTACAATACCGCTGTGATAAATATGACCGCACATGCCCTTTCACGGTTCGCTTGTCGTTGTACACCCGCCGACGCCACGGACACACATCAAATACAGCAGCTACATATGCAGGCGTCATGGACCCATGGGTACCTGAACGAGTGTGCGATACATGTGCTGTAAGTGCCTTGCGTGTTTGAAGCCTGCGCCGCATACCGTGCTATCGTCCAACAAGCATGTGCACACGTACGGATACACCCAACCATGTGCGGGAGGAGGTTGTGGTGGAGGAGCAGGAGGTTGCTGAAGGAGGAGGAGGATTCCTCTTGCCTCGGTTGCCTCGACCGCGGCCTGTTGCCAAGCCGCTGCGACAAACTAATATTGTCACTCTGCGGCTGTCGTCTTCGTCTGCCTGTCTCTCGTTGCATCTCTCCCCCTCAGGCTGCCGGCGGATCGCAGGGCCGAAAAAGAAGGTATGGCTGTCTGGGGAGCTCTTGTTCTGGGAGGTGGAGATCCGCGTTTCTCCGACTGGCCCCATTGCGCAGCCCGTGCTGGGTTGCATGCTTCGAGCACCAGCGTCTAGCGGACGCTTACGGACGCGGCTGCACACATCACGCGATATGGGCCACGTCCTCACTATCCTTGTGCGCCAACGTGTGCGACAGTGCATGGCCAGCACGCACAAGCTTCTGAAGCCCTCGCGGTCGCACCGATGCAATATGGCCGAGTCCCAAGGCTGTAGCTGGCCACCGTGAAGGGACCAGTGGGTCTGATATGCAGATTGACGCGACCTCGTCAGCGTCCCAGTCTTGCTGTGTCTCGATCCTCGCCGCCGCACCCTCCTCCACTTCTGCCTCCTAGTCTGCCCCCTCCACGTCCTCTGCATCCTCGCCCTCCTCCTCCCTACACGGCATCCCCATTCTGACAACACCACCCCCTCCTTGACATGATCTCCTCCTCCTGCTCAATCTCCTGCGCCTCCGCCTCTTCTGCCTCCGCCACCTCCTCGTCATTGCCCTCTGCGCCGTGTTCTTCCACAACGTCGCGTTCTTCCAGACTGGCCTCCCGAGACCTCCAACGCCGTGCTCTTCCACAACGTGGACCATCGGAGGTCTGGACCTCTTTCCAGGGAGCCTGTCTTCGTCCCGAGCATCCGTCTGACAGCCGTAGAGGCCAGGTAAGGGCCCCCAGAGGCCGAAATAGGGAGCAGAAACCCACCCTCACAATTACCCCTCATAGTAAACGCACCCAAAGAAGAAATCGAACAGGGCAGGGGTGTTAAATAAACGCCTAGGGCTGTTTAATAAACGCCAGTGGTCGGCTCCGGGTGGGTTTTCCTCCATTGACGAAAACCAACGGCAAACGACGGATTGCAGAGGCAGACGCGATGATGTCACGGTCCCTCCCTCTTCTCCTCCTCCACCTCCTTCCCCGCGGCGCCCCGACTGCCTTGACCATGTCCAGGGCGCCCTGGCGAGGGCGGTTGAGCGAGGCAGGATGCCAGAAAGAAGGAGGGAGCGAAGCGAAACGCGCTGGTGGCTGGCAGGGCCGGGACGCACAGAGACGTACTAATACTGCACGTCCTCCTCGGAGGCGCGCGTCCGACCCGAACATATAGTACACCCTTCTTGTAATACATCGTTTCCCGAGCGGTACGGCCAGTGAGCGCCAGCCACGACGAAAAAACGAAGATTTCTCGGTGCGCGCGTCGCCTCTGTGGGGGGGGGGGGGGGGAGACGCACACGTGGTATTCGTATGCTGAGGTGACGACGAAGGGTGGTTGTGCTTGTGGTCGGCGTGTGAGAGGTGTGCTGTACACCAGGAGCACTGGCCATCGCTCGGACGTCCATTCCCTGTGCTTGTTTTGGTTTCGTGCGTGGTTTTTTCGCCAGGTGATCGAGGATGCTCCTCGATGGTCCTCGCTGAAGAAACATGCACACGTCCGAGCGATGCCAAGGAGCAAGGCGCCAAGAGACGAGTCGGACGATGGGAGGCGGAGGCCCGGCGTCGGGGCGCGGGGGCCGGAGGTCGCACGGTGGCGGCTGCAGGCTGGACGCGCGAGGCCTCAGAGCGTGCGCTGCTGCTGCTGCTGCGGCGGGCGCTGGAGGTCAAAAGCTGTAGACGGGGGGTCGGAGTGTGACGGAACTGCGGGAGGGTGCACGTCTGAGTGCGGGGGCTGGAGGCTGGAATGCAGCGGCTAGAACGCTGGGCGCGTGTGCACTCTGAGGTCGCCTGCTCTCCTGGTGAAGACCTCGGAGCCGGTGGTCGGAAAGGCGGGGAGCCGGAAGGCGGGAGGCGGAAGGAGCCGTGGAAACGGAAAGCGGAGCAGGGGGTCGGGAGGGCGGAAGGTGGACGAGGAAGTGCGGTAGCTGGAGGTCACGGCCTGGGGTGCTTTCTCCATTGGAGAAGGCAGCGGCGGGGCAGCAACATAATGAGGACGGATGAGATGAAAGGGGCTGGAGAAGGCATGGAGGGGAGGGGGTGAGAGGGTGGTGGAGGGGGGACAAGGCAGAGAGGATGGAGAAAGGGAGGGAGGGATATGTCATGTGAGAGATGGGGGCCTTCCTCTCTTCTTCTCAACTCGAGTGACACCACGCGAGGCGTACCAATCTCCAAAGCCGACACGCCACTGCTGGCAAGGATACCATGGCTGCCAGCGCGTCCCGCTTCTCCTGTTTCCACCCACGCTGGAGACCTCTGAGGAAGAGGAGGTGAGCGGAGGGATGGGAGAGAGGGGGAAGGAACAAGAAGAAGAGACGGAATGTGAAAGGATGGTGAGGGCGAAAAGGTCGGACGGAGGAGGAAGTGCACGAGATTGGAGATCAATTCTAAGTGGTCCTGGGAATCCGACCCCTCCCAGGAAAATCATGGCCAATCTTTCGGGCCGCGCCAGGCCATGGCGACAATAACCTCCAGAAAATCCAGAAACCTTTTTCCGAATGGTCGAATACGTCAACGGGGAGGCGATGCGGACCCATACGTCCGGCGCAGTATACCTTACCATACAACAGTGTAGCGAAGAACAGGACGTATAAACACCAATGTCGCAACCTCCTTCTCCACCCCCTCCTCAATCTTTAGAGGCCTCCTGGATGGGATCGGAGTAGATGGGGTCGGAGGATCGAGCCGCATCGCCGATACATCATCGGCGATGCATCGGCGATGCATCGTCGACGTGGGCGATGCATCGGCGACGTCGACGTGAAGCACATCGGGCTTCACATCGAGCCGCATCGGCGAAGCATCGGCGATGCATCGGCGATGCGGCGCGATCCTCCGACCCCATCTGCTCCGACCCCATCTGGGAGGCCTAGAATCTTTCCCGTGACTCGTCATCCTCATCGCCCTCGTCGTTTCTTCCTCTCTCTCCTCCTGGGCCTCCGGCACCCCATGCCAGTCCACCACCGCGCCGTGGGCACCGAGCGGAGTGCCGTCGGGACACGCAGGTCCTCTGCATGGAGTGCTCGAGTGCTCGAGCATTGTGCACATTAGTTCAGGGGCTCACAACCTGTCTCCCATTGCTCCTGCCGCCTCGCCTCACATCCAGGCAACGCACGACACGAGTGGCGGCATGTGTGCTGTGGTGTTCGGCATCTGCCGGCCATTTCCTTGGCCCCTGCATGGGCCGCCACAACAAACGACTCAGGATGGAACGTCGAGCCTTGGGGAAGCGACATCACGAACAGAAATACAACTTCGGAGGAGACGGACCTGCCCCCTCGGACGCACACAAAAAGGGAAACAGGGGTGGGGAAGCAGGGCATGGAGTTGAGGAGTGAAGGAAGGGAGATAGAGAGAGAGAGGGGGGCGTCTGGAAATCGACTGGGGAGGGAGCTGGTCGAGGAGTGACCGGGGGGAGGGAGGAGCGGAACTTCAGGGCCCTCGATCCTCGTGGCACGATCCCCCTCGTTGCTCGAACCTCGAGGCTCGATCTTCTTCGATCCTCGGAGCATCGAGGCCCTGCGGCCGAGGGCCCCTCGATGCCCTCCGATCCTCGATCCTCGATTCCTTTACGCCGCGCCTCCAAGATCCGCACCCCGATCCCACTCCATCCTCGGAGCCTCGCTCCCCACTCGATCCTCAGATCCTCGATCTCCTTCGAGTCTCGATCCTCGAACCTCGATCCCCTTCGATCCTCGATGTTCGATCCCCGTCGTTCCTCCGACCTCGATCCCGTGGTCCCGAAGAATCCCGAGCACTTCCCCCAAGAAAGGCTTTCCGTCCCGATCAATGTGCTGACCGTCTTGGTGCAAGCAACCCGACTCCAGAAGGGGTTGAACCTGTGGGAAGCCAACCGCCGCGACTTCTTCAGGAGGCCGGCCCAGACAAGGGCGAGCAACAACGGAAAACCTGGATTTAGGTCAAGCATCTCTTCCTACAGGCGGATCTTGAAAGGCAAATTGAAAAATGGTCCAAGACAATCACACAAAGACAAACATAGTCGAACAATCGTCCCCATAATATTTGATGACTGTCCTTGGATATTCCTCCTGTACAGGGGCGCGCCCGACTTAAACCTAGATCTCCGATCCAGTGTAGAATGACAGCCTCAAAGCAACGGCGACAGGCGTCGAAAACAAATCTGTTTGTCGAGCAGAGCGCTAGCCCACCTGAGCAGAGCTGGCTGCGCGCCAGCATGCTACAATTCTTTATCCCTGTACTCCTGCCCACCCCTCTGGTGGTGCTGCCGCTCCTGTCGGCGAGGGCCTCGATCCTCCTCCTCCTCCTCCTCCTCCTCTTCCTCCTCCCTCCTCCTCCCTCCTCCTCCTCCTCCTCCCTCCTCCCTCCTCCTCCCTCCTCCTCCCTCCTCCTCCTCCTCCTCCTCCTCCTCTTCCTCCTCCTCCTCCCCTCCTCCTCTTTCTCCCTCCTGCTCCTCCGCCTCCTCCTCCTCCCCTCTCCTCCTCCTTCTCCTTCTCCTTCTCCTTCTCCTTCTCCTTCTCCTTCTCCTCCTCCTCCTCCTCCTCCTCCTCCTCCTCCTCCTCCTCCTCCCTCCTCGTGCTCCTCATCCTTTTCCTCCTCCTTCTCCTCATCCTCCTCCTCCGCCTCCTCCTCCTCCGCCTCCTCCTCCTCCTCCGCCTCCGCCTCCTCCTCCTCCGCCTCGTCCCGCTCTTCCTCCTCCTCCTCCTCCGCCTCCTCCTCCTCCCCCAACCTGCGAACACGTAATACACATCGAAACAACGCGTTCCCGATTATCTTGACCGAAGCCATCTGCACAACCCTCGGCCCTGCAAAACCGACGCCCGTCCTCCAGGCCCCGATGCCCTCCTTGGCCCTGACCTGGGGAAACCAACAGGTACCGATGCCGCTACTTGCGTGGCAACTGATGGGGGTCTCTCATACCATCTTGTCGGCTCTGGCGCATCGACGCTAGTCGACGCTAAATCGTTGCTAATCGACGCTAAATCGACGCTAAATCGGCGCAACATCATCGACTCCCAGACGTTAACCGACGCTAAAGACTGAATTGCGAGGATGTGTCAGACCCCCGTGGCTAGCTACCGAACGCTGCTCCACGGAACTCTCCCAGTGTGCGCTCTGACCGGACTTTCGACGCGAATCCAGCCGTGGCGACGAGGGCCTCCCAGGAGGCCCACGACAAGGCAACGCGAGGCGAGGGCAGCGGCTTGGGCACCTGCTCCTCCCCTCCGATCCTCGGGCCTGGACCGGCACCTCCTCCTCCCAAGACGCTGCCCTCTGGACCGCCCTCGGCAGCGGCCCGCGCCAGATGGTCGCGCGCCTCCAGCGGGTTACTAGCCCTCCTCGGCGCACGCGCCTCGGGCACTCGCTGCCACCGCCGCCCAGCCGCCGTCGCTCGTCGTCGCCGCTCCGCTCGTCGTCGTCGTCGTCGTCGTCGTCGTCGTCGTCGTCGTCGTCGTCGTCGCCGCCGCCGTCGTCGTCGTCGTCGTCGTCGTCATCGTCGTCGTCGTCGTCGTCGACATCGACATCGTCGTCTTCGTCGCCGCCGCTGTCGTCGCCGATCTGCGGTCTTCGTGGCACCGCGGACGCCTCCGGAGGCTCTCGGAGGCTGTCGGCGGCCCTCGGAGGGTCCCCGGAGGTCCCCGCAAGATCTCTCGGAGGCGACTGGGTGATCGAAGCCCCGAGATTCCTTGAGGAATGGACAAACGCTCCTACCTTGGGTTGTAAGTGCGTGGTCAGTAAATCTCCTGGGAGCTCCCACATGCCAGAGAGCCGCCAGGACGCCGCGCGGCACGCGCGATACGCAGGGTTTACACTGTCAGCCCACAGGAGGTTCAGCGCACAGCGCCTCATAAACCAGGGTAGGGGCGTTGTTCACGCCTTTGAATTCAGGCAAAATCGGCATAGACGCAAGAACCAGACTGAAACTGGCCTGGAGCATGGCATGGACTGCAGCTCCTACCAGATCCCGCTGCAGTTGGGGGCTATAACAGTGTGTGGTCATAGGCTGTCAGAGGTCATGCTCACGTGCGCGGTGGGTGGCTGCTGGCCACGTCAGCGCAAGATGGACGAGGTAAGCAAATATGCAGGTGCTGTTGAGTGTCCCATGTGTCGCAAGGCGCCAGAGGATTTGATGCACAGGATATGGGAATGTGAATGCAACGAGGGGAAGGACGCGCATGACGAGTCGAGCGAGCTGGTCCCGCAGGCTACTGCACAAGGGGAGGCAGGCCAAGGCTTCTGGCTGCGAGGGCTCATGCCAGCGGCCTGGACTGCCGTGCCCGCGCCGTGCGACAGGGAGAGTTGGATCGGCACTGAGGACTTGGAGGGGGAGGCGATCGTCGAGGGCTGCGTCGCAGGCGGCTCTGAGCAAGCACCGCTTTTCGCTTTCAAAGATGCGAGCGGAAGTCCAGACACTAGCAACCCGCTTTTTCGCCGCGAGGGCGTTGCAATTGTTTTCATGAGAGCTCTGGAACCAGCGCTGCAGTTGGCCTCGACTGTGCGCGGTCCCCTTGCGGGACCCCGGCAGATTGTTGCACGCGGCGAGCTCCGTGCGCTGCTTTTGGCTGCGTGGATGACAACAGGCTCAATTGCTTTCGTTTCCGATTGCGAACCAGTCGTTGAAGGGGTTTATAACCGGAAGCTTGAGGCTCCCACAGAGGAAGATGCTGACCTTTGGGCGTTGTTGGGGCTCGGGCTTACGAAAAGGGTAGGCGAATCCATCACTGTCCTTTTTGTGAACTCTCACCTTTCTGTCTCCGGCATCGTGGAAGGGAGAGCTCCGCGGTGGATGGTGGCAGGGAATTTGATTGCCGACGAGATCGCAGGGCAAGCGGCCACAGAAGGTCGTCTTCCTGAAGCAATTCGACACCATGTCTTGATTCGGGAGAGGGTGGCTCGCCTTGTCAGGAAGCGTATGTTGCGGGCCACTCTCGACTCCATGGCTGCTGAGGATAAGTAGAGAGCTGTAGGTGATGAAAAGAGTCCCCCCGCCCCTGCCCCTTCCCAGCCCCCTGCTGCTGCCTCTCTCGCCCTTCTGGCCTTGGCACACACAGTGGACAGTACAGGGTGTAGGTGCACCAGGTGCGCAGGCTCAGCTGATAAGGTCACGCGGACTGCGTGGATCAGGACCCCGTGCTTCTCTCCCTTGAATAATAGTGGCGCCATATTCTGTAAGCCTCCAGATGCTGCGTTGCACATTGCTGGTGGATTTGTCCACCCCAGTCACAAGATGCAGTATCATAGAGACCTTCAGCTGTGGTACTGTGTTGGCTGTGGCAGCTTTGGATCTCAGCAGCTTCTGGCCCTTGGGCCGTGCATCTGCGATGAGTCTCCCGGGGCTCGTGGCCAAAGGTCTGGAGCAGGGCCGAGGAGGCCTCCAGGCGCAAGATTCTGGGTGTGGCTTTATGGACTTGGTCGTATGCTCATGCTCATGCTCCTGCTCCTGCTCCTCCTCCTCCTCCTCCTCCTCCTCCTCCTGGGGAGCTCTCTTCGCCACGGATGGTTGCTCTTTTGAAATCCCACCAGTCCTGTAGGACGTAGATGGTTCAGCGAGTTCGTTTCTCCAAACCTCCTGTCTCCCCTTCGGGAAGAGGCTTCGCCGCTCTCCCTACCGCCTCTCCCCGCCCAGGGGGTATCTAACATGATTGCCCCGAGCAAGCACCGCGTTTTTGAACGTGTCTAGGTCACCTAGGTGTGTATCTAACATGGTTGTCTGGAGGGGGCGATTTTCGGGTCGCTGGGCCGTCCAAGGTCGCTCCAAGAGGGCCCCGGATACTGCAAGACTGCTTCCAAGATGGCACAAGACAGCCCGAGCTGGCTCTCGATAGTCTCTCGCTTGCCCCCAACATGCCCCCATACCGACCCAACACGGTTCCGACTGGCCACGGAGCCTCCTCAGGCACATCCTAGGGGCCAAAGTCCTGCCAACACGTACGGGGACACCATGTGTGTTGTTGTCTAGCCTCTTCGCTTCCGATGAGCCCGCGAAGCCTCAGGATGGCCCCAGGATGCCCCGAGAGAGCCCCAAACAGGGGCCCCAGAGATTCCCAAGACAGCCTCAAGCGCGCCCCACAAGGCCCCCGGTATTGCCCAAGAGAGGCCCAAGCCATCCCTGTAGGCCTCGAACATGGCCACAAGAGGGTCGCGCCTCAAACATGGCCACAAGAGGGTCGCACGAGAGCTCCACCATGGCCCCAAGGGCCCCCCACGCAAAGTTTCAGGCCAAGGCCACGGACGTCCACGGCGACACCACACTGCAAAACCCCCTGAACCGATGAAGAAACCCGAGACCGAATACTCAGTGCGGCCCCTGGGGGACGCAGCGGTGCAGTAACGGACGGCACCTGACCGACCGAATACAATCGACCCGTATCATGACATGTTTCTGTCGCTTGTATCATGTGTGACCCCAGAAGTCCCTCCCCCCTTCCCCAAATGGTGCAGATCCATGTTTGATGGGCCCCGGGCCCGGTGACCGGCCCCCGTTGCCGAACTCGGGGAAAACATTAGGCCCGACAAATCAAATTGTCAGAGATCTGGGTCCCAAGGTGGCGGGCATCGCAGCAACGAGAGGCGATACGCACCTCCCCCCTCCGCCCCCACGGCCCAGCCCTTTCCCCGACCAGAGAGGGGGACCTCTGCATCGTCGCAGCAGCCGTCGCCGCAGCCCTCCGGGGCGACTCAAAGCCCAGCGACGCCAACTTCCGAAACGAAGTCGTCGTCGTCACCACCGTCGCCTTCGTCGTCGTCGCCGCCGCCGCCGCCGCCGCCGTCGGCGCCTGTCGTCGTCGTCGGCGCCGCCGCCGCTGCCGCCATCGTCGTCGGCGCCGTCGTCGTCGGCGCCGTCGTCGTCGTCGTCGTCGCCGTCGTCGTCGTCGTTGTCGTCGTCGTCGTCGTCGTCGTCGTTCTCGCCGTCGTCGTCCTCGTCGTCGTCGTCGTCGCCCTGCGGCGCGGGCCTCCGCCGCCGCCCCGGCGCGCCGAGGCCGCAGGCCTCCGCGGGCGCGCGGCGGGGCCGCGGCGCGCGGGCTGCGGCGCGCGGCGCTCTCGGCCTGCGCCTGGCCGAGAGCGTGCTGGCGCATGTGTCTCGTTCCTCGTCTCGTGTGCGTTTTGTGTGCGTTTTTGTGTGTTCCCATTGTGCGTTTCTCGTTTAGGTTCAGTTTTTCAGTTTTCTTTTTCTCGGCGAGAAACGGGAAAAAAGACGAAAAACTGGACCAAACGAGAAGCAACGCGTCGTTGCTTCTCGTTTGGTGTTCGTTTTGTGTGTCGTTATGCCCTGCCCGCTGTCCCGTGCCTCCCTGCCAGAACGAGAAGCAAAACCCAGCCGAGCGCCAGCCAAACGGCGTTTAGGTCCAGCCCTGGCCAAGAGCGTGCTGGTGCTCGGGTCGTCCCAGGCGGCCGCCAGGGAACAACGACGACGACGACGGCGGCGGCGGCGGCAGCGAGCGTCGGCGGCAGAGACGACGACCGCGCCGTCGCCGCCGCCGTCGTCGCCGCCGTCGTTCGGCCGTGGAGAAAATCGGGCCCGTCACATCGGGCCGCATCATCGTCGATGTATCGACGATGCAGCGCGATCCTTCGCCCCCGTCTACTCGGACCCCATCTGGGAGGCCTACGAGACATGTCCCGGAAACCGCCGAACATCCGCCGCCTTGCTTGTTTCAATACGGGCGCCATGAAAATCCACTGCGCTCCCGACCCCTGTCACTGGGGCCAAGAAGCCGGCCCCAACTGCGGGAAACTATGAGCAGCACATGTCTCGATTTCTGCCCGGAGCGCTGGGCGTCTGGGATCCAGGGTCCCAAGGGAGACGAGGATCGAGGACCCATGGGGGATCGACGTCCGTGGATCGAAGATCGAAGCGGACCCGAGGCCCGAGGCCGAGCTCTGGGATGCTCCCTGTTGCTCCGAGAGGCTCCTCGTGGCCACGGCTGCGTCCGCGGAGCGCGCCCTCTTCACCCCCCGAGGCCAGAACACCTGCAACCACTCTGCTCTGGACGGCTTCCCCCGCGGCCGTATAGGTGACCCGAGGAGGGGAGGGCGAGGAGGAGGAGGAGGAGGAGGAGGAGGGGATGGGAAATGGAGGAGGAGGGGAAGGAGGAGGAGGAGGGCGAGGAGGAGGAGGAGGGCGAGAAGGAGAAGGCGGAGGAGGAGAAGGCGGAGGATGAGGCGGAGGAGGAGGAAGAGGAGGAGGAGGAGGAGGATGGGAGGAGGAGGAGGTGGGAAGAGGTGGGAAGAGGAGGAAGAGGAGGAAGAGGAGGAAGAGGAGGAAGAGGAGGAAGAGGAGGAAGAGGAGGAAGAGGAGGAAGAGGAGGAAGAGGAGGAAGAGGAGGAGGAGGAGGTGGGAGGGGAGAAGGGGAGAAGGGAGGGAGCAGGGAGGGGGAGCCCGTAGGTCTAGGGGGGGAAGAGAGGCGGGGGGGAGCGTCGCAAGGTTTCCGGTCTGGGCGTGCTCACCCAGACTCTCGGGGCCGCCTGGGGACCGTCGCGGATCGACCTCGTTTCCAGGAGTGCCACAAACAAAAAAGTAGTGTTATGACGGGCATGTTCGAAAACATTACAAATGGTTGAACAAATCGTCCCAGACTGTATTTTTGACTATTTTTCAATATTCCCCTGTAGAGGGACACGCCCGACTTACTCACTTCCTCCTCCTCCCTCTTCCTCCTTTCCTCCCTCCTCCTCTTCCTCCTTTCCGCCTTCCTCCTCCTCCTCCTCCTCCTCCTCCTCCTCCCCCATCCCTCCTCCTCCCTTTCCTCCTCCTCCTCCTCCCCCTCCTCCCTCCCTGCCCGCCGGGACCCGTGCCTTGCCCCCTCGGGACCCCCCGCCGAATCTCCGAGGCAAAGACCTCTCCGCTCGGGGCGGCACCCCCGCCGCGCGCCTCCGAGCGCGAAGCAGCTGACGGCGGCCCACGCGGCAGCGGCGCCGACGGCCACCTTGGAGCCGCGCGGGCGGCACGCGCACGCCCGACGTCGGCGGCGAGGCAGGACGACGACCACGACGACGACGGCGACGGCGACGGCGACGGCGACGACGACAACATCGATGGACGAAGACGACGACGACGACGACGACGACGACGACGACGACGACGACGACGACGACGACGACATCGATGGACGACGACGACAACGACGACGACGACGACGACGACGACGCCGCCGCCGCCGCCACCGCCATCGCCGTCACCGCAGCCGACGCCGACGCCAGCGCCGGCGCCGGCGGGTTGAACAAAGGGAGACGGTCGGTCTGTCGCCGACGGAGGCCCGTCTCGGCCCCGAGGGCCATGGGGAGAGCGGATCGACGTGAGAAGCTGGCCTGGGGGAGAGGATTGAGGAGGAGGAGGAGGAGGAGGAGGAGGAGGTGGAGGAGGAGGAGGAGGGAAGAGGAGGAGGAGGAGGAGGACGAGGAGGAGGCGAGGGAGGCGGACCCCGCATGGAGAAGTCAAAACATGAACGACTCAGGATGGAGAGCTGATCCCAGGAAGGGCCCCCGGCGCCTGAAGCAGGTGCCCATCAAGAGGCGGACGGGGAAGGAGGAGCACGAGGATGGAACAGGGGATAATGGTGTGCAAGGGAACAGAGATGAGGAAGACGCTTGGCAGGAGGGACAGATTCCTGAGGTAGACGGGTCCGACATCCTGGGGAGGGGTCCTCTAGATGCTCGGAAATGGCAAGAAACCTCCTTTTTTCCCGTTAAACACGATGCTCTCTCTCTCTCTCTCTCTCTCTCTATATATATATATATATATGCATCTAGTTATATCTATATGTATATATATACATATATATATACGTATACGTATCCGACGATATGATTTGTGTCGATGAGCGGACCAAAAACTCCTGACCCCAAATCCGCTGTTGATGGCCTCAGGGCTGGGCCCGGGGACGGGCCCCAGACGGTGACATCGAAGCCAGACGCCGGGATTGAACAACAACATCCCAGCAGAGATCTAGGTGGGCGGGGGGCGGAGGAGTCAGAATACAGTCGGGGCGTTGACCTAAGGAACCCTAAATAAGGAACGAGGCCCCTGTTTTCCATAAGTCAAAAACATAAGGAAAACCTGAGGCAAGCTGTGAAACACTTAAGGAGCCCCTCCCCAACAAAAAGCATTCCTTCTTCAGGGCCCCGACTGTAGGAAAACCGCATGTGAGCCATACCCCTGCAGGTCAGATGTCCGAACAGCTGGCTGGGGTTCAGAATTCGAAGGACGTCTGCAGCCAAGTGAACTTCAACGTGGGTGTCCAATACCCTGGCGTCGATCGATTGCACCCGCACAAACATGCTCGTTCTTGGGACCTTCCTTGGGCCGCCCACTCCATGCATGCGTCGGTGCTGCGCCGAACGTCCGCCGACTTGAGTCGAACTCGAGTCGAACAGATCCGTCAAGTGGGTCCCAGGAAGGTCTCCCAAACGAGCATCTGCCGCAGGGGTAGGCTGCAAGCGGCCAACGGGTCTGAACTGGTCTCGACCTGAGAAAATCTGCCGGGAGGGGAAGGCAGGAAGCCAACTCCACTCCGAATCGGTCCCCGCCTGGTGCAGTTTGTCACCCCGGACCCGTTCTGACGCCCCCCGGGGCCCGAAAACGGCCCCCCGAAGGCCGAACTTTGGACGCCCGAGATGGGCACGGAAAGAATGGGTACAATGCCCAACAACAAATGCTGTCCCAACCCAACAGCGGCCGCTGTTGAGCAGGCGGCCTCCTGTCTCGAGTGGGCACAGGCCGCGGCGGCGCGGACAGCGAATCATGTTCAAAATGAACAGGAACTGTTGTTGGGCATTGTACCCATTCTTTCCGTACCCATTTCGGGCGTCCAGACGAAAAGGACAAGAAACCTCATCGAACCCGGCGCCTCGAGCCTGCTCGCCCGAGTCGTGACGGCCGGAACCTGAACTGGGCCACCTCGGGCACCCCGCGGGGCTCCGACCCCAAACAAGCACCCAACGCAGGGGATGAGGGGGAGGACGAGGGGGAGGAGGAGGAGGAGGAGGAGGAGGAGGAGGAGGAGGAGGAGGAGGAGGAGGAGGAGGAGGAGGAGGAGGAGGAGGCCCGAAGACGGCCCCCCGAAGGCCGAACATGACAAGGCACCTCATGGAACCCGGCGCCTCGAGCCTGCTCGCCCGAGTCCTGCTGGCCGGAACCGGAGCATGGGCCACCTCGGGCACCCCGCGGGGCTCTCCAGCCCCACACAAGCACCCAACGCAGGGGAGGAGGAGGGAGGGGGAGGAGGAGAGGAGGAGGAGGAGAGGAGGGAGGAGGAGGAAGGATGAGGGGGGAGGCCCGAAGACGCCCCCCGAGCCGAAAAGGACAAGAAACCTCATCGAACCCGGCGCCTCGAGCCTGCTCGCCCGAGTCCTGCTGGCCGGAACCGGAGCATGGGCCACCTCGGGCACCCCGCGGGGCTCTCCAGCCCCACACAAGCACCCAACGCAGGGGAGGAGGAGGGAGGGGGAGGAGGAGGAGGAGGAGATGAGGAGGAGGAGGAGGAGGAGGGAGGAAGGAGGAGGGAAGGAGGAGGCGAGGGGCGGAGAGGAGAGGAGGAGGAGGAGGAGGGGAGGAGGAGGAGGAGGAGAGGAGTAGGAGGAGGAGGAGGAGGAGAGGAGGGAGGAGGCGGGGAGGAGGAGGAGAGGAGCGAGGAAGGCGAGTAGGAGGAGGAGGAGGAGGAGGAGGCCCGAAGACGGCCCCCCGAAGGCCGAACAGGACAAGACACCTTGCCCGGCGCCTCGAGCCTGCTCGCCCGAGTCCTGCTGGCTGGAACTGGAGCATGGGCCACCTCGGGCACCCTGCGGGGCTCCAGACCCCACACACGCACCCAACGCAGGGGAGGAGGAGGGAGGGGAGGAGGAGGAGGAGGAGGAGGAGAGTGAGGAGGAGGAGGAGGATGAGGCGGAGGAGGAGGAGGAGGAGGAGAGGAGGAGGAGGAGGAGGAGGAGGAGAGTATGAGGAGGGGGGAGGAGGAGGAGGAGGAGGAGGAGGAGGAGGAGGAGGAGGAGAGGAGAGGGGCCGTGGAGAGGAGAAGGCGGAGGAGGAGGAGGAGGAGGAGGAGGCCCGAAGACGGCCCCCCGAAGGCCGAACAGTACAAGAAACCTCGTCGAACCTGGCGCCTCGAGCCTGCTCGCCCGAGCCCTGCTGGCCGGAACCTGAACATGGGCCACCTCGGGCACCCCGCGGGGCTCTCCAGCCCCACACAAGCACCCAACGCAGGGGAGGAGGAGGGGGAGGAGGAGGAGGAGGAGGAGGAGGAGGAGGAGGAGGAGGAGGAGGAGGAGGAGGAGGACGACGATGAGGAGGAGCACGATGAGGAGGAGGACGATGATGATGATGAGGAGGAGGCGGAGGAGGAGGAGGATTGGAATGGAATGGAATGGGATCAATGACGTAGTCATGCAATTCAAAGAAAGAGAAAAAGGTTGCCTGCCCGACTCACACGAAACTTTTGAGGCCCTCGCGCCTGCCCGCCAAGAAAACACCAGAGAAAACGAAGTTGACGCCGTCTGTAGAGGTTGACCGCCGTATGTACCCAACGCAGTACGGTATTATTAAGCCAAACGCTCCCAGCACCGCACGTCCACCGCGCCCGCGAATATCAGCCCAGCGGGAATGGCCACCCGCCCGTCGCATGCGACAGAACAAATGGCCCCCAAACAAACCGTACTACTGTGGCAATCACCGAAGCTAGTGCATTGGCATTACGGCGAGACTCAAGCGAGTGAAAAAGCAAACAACCAATATAGAAACGAGGAAATTGAAATAAATGGCAGCAGGACCCGCCCAGCATACGCCTGAGAGATGAAAGTGAAGCAAAGGAATAGACACCACTGACAAACATCCTCGAATTACCTGGCGACAAAGACCACCGCTGCTACCACGGCGGGGAATGCTAGCCTCACCAGGGCTCGTCCCGCACACTGAGACTGAGCACCAAAACCATGGCGAGCGTGAAATGCACGAGGAAAACCACCAACTGCAGACACCCCAGACGATGGATACCACGGCACTCAATAGCAGCAGGG